TTGGAAATAGCTCTTTGTACATATAATAAAATTAAGATTGATTCATATTCAATTGGCGGGGGCGGGGAGGTTCATCCAATATGCTCTTCTTTTTAAGAGCAGAAGACAGACACCCAAACGCACAGAGAGAATGCCATGTAATGGTGGAGGCAGAGATGAAAATGATGTTTCTATAAACCCAAAAAACTCCAGTGATTGCTGACAAAGCTAAGGCAAAGGCATAGGACAGATTCTCTCCTAGGTCCTTCAAAGAGAGCATGGTTCTGCTGACACATTGATTTCCCACTTTTAGTCTCCAGAACTGTGAGGCAATAAATTTCCTTTGTTTTAAACCACCCAGTTTGTGGTAATTGGTTATGGCAGCCATGGGAAACTAACATATCATCATACTTAACCTGTCAGCAGCATTTGAGATGGTGAGCATTCATTCTTTTGAAATGTTTTCTTTTCCCGTATTTGTAGCATCACTCTCACTTGATTTTCCTCATACCTACTATTTCCTGGTATTGTTGTCTGTCTCTTCCACACATTCCAGATCTCAAAATGTTGGAATGTCCTAAAGATTTTTTATAGGACTTCAACCTTTTTAATCTATATTCTCTGCCTAGTAAATGTTTGCAAATCCATGACTTTATATACCATCCTATCTAATAAAAGAGAAACATGGTAATTGGAGTACGACCGCTAACCTTCCCATTAGCTAATCAGGGCAATATGCAAATTAACTGCCAGCCAAGATGGCAGCCGGCAGCCAGGCAGCTTAAAGCTAACATGAGGCTTGCTTGCTTCAGTGACGGAGGACTCCAACGTTCCCCGCCTGCCACTGCAGGCCTCTGAGCTGCAACTCTAAGCAACTATGTAACAAATATAGAAGCTAAACAAAACCCCAGAAACCTGCTTTAGTCCGCCGGGCTTCAGCCAGCAGGATCGCAACATTGTAAGCAAAGGCCAGAAACCTACTTGCAGCAGCGGAGGCCTAAGAGCTGGAGCCAAGCCTCAAAGCTAAAGCTGGCCCAGAATAAAAAAGAAAGAAAGGAGCAGTTGGAAGCTTCAGTCACCCCCAGCCTGAAAACAGACCTCAGCCCCTCACCCAGACTGGCCAGGCACCCCAGTGGGGACCCCCACCCTGATCCAGGACATCCTTCAGGGCAAACCAGCTGGCACCCACCCGTGCACCAGGCCTCTACCCTATATAGTAAAAGGGTAATATGCCTCCCAGAACTGGGATCAGCAGAGCCGCGAGGCCTCCCGGCACCAGGATCAGCGTGATAGGGGGCAGCACCCACACCCCCTGATCGCCCTGCGGCTCTGTGTGTGACAGGGGGCAGGGCCACAACCTCCCTATCCGCCCTGCTCTGTTTGTGACAGCGGAAGGCGCCCCAATCCCCTAATCAGCTCTGCTCTGTGCCTGATAGGGGGGATCTCCCCAACCCCCTGATTGCCCTGCAGCTCTGTGTGTGACAGGGTGCAGCGCCCCAATCCCCTGATTGGCCCTGCTCTGTGCATGACAGGGGATGGCACCGCAACCTCCCCATCGACCCTGCCTTGAGTGTGACGGGGGTGGTGCCCCAACCCCCCAATCGGCCCTACCCTGAGCATGACTGAGGGTGGTATCACAACCTCCCAATCTCCCTGCTCTGTGCATGACAGGGGGCGGCGTCCCAACTCCCCAATCGGCCCTGCTCTGAGCCCGACCAGGGGCTGCACCTAGGGATTGGGCCTGCCCTCTGCCACCCGGGAGCAGGCCTAAGCCAGCAGGTCGTTATCTCCCAAGGGGCCCCAGACTGCAAGAGGGCACAGGCCGGGCTGAGGGATCCCCCTCCCCCTCAAGTGCACAAATTTTTGTGCACCAGGCCTCTAGTTTAAACAATAAGAACTTTCTATTTAGATTTATATTCCAACCAAAACTTCTCCCTAGGTTCCAGACCAATATATGTAAATGACCAATCAACTTGGATATCAAATAGGCATCAAAAAATTAATATAGCCAAAGCAGAAGTATTTCACTATTGATTCCTGAAATCAGCACTCCTCCAGAGTTCCCCTGGCAAAGTCCAACCATCATCCATCTACCTGCTTGTTCAAGCCAAAAACCTAAAAATCATCCTGATTTCCTCTTTAATATTTCACATGCAATCCATCAGTGATTCCTGTCTGATCTTCCTCCAAAACATAGAGATGATGTTTCCCTCTACTTCAACCATTACCATCCTGTTTTGAATGTCATCTCTTGCTGGCTGATTACAAGAGCTTTCTAACTTCTCCTGCCTCTGCTCTAATGCTCTTTCCTACATCTCTGTCCCACATGGCAGCCAGGAGATCAATCTTTCTAAAGTGTAAACCAGATCAGGTCACTTCTTCACTTAAAACCATCCATTGACTCTCTATTACAATAATAAAATAATAAATATAAAAATTAAATTTAAATAATAGAATCAAAATTTCTTAGAACCTATAAAATCTGGCTACTGACCCCTCTCTGCATCTGTCTTTATCATCCCCTTCAATAACTATATTCCAGCCATTCTGGTCTTCTTACCATCTCTTGAATATGCCATGATTTCTTTTATCTCAGGAGAGTTTAATACACCATTCCTTTAAAATATTTATCAGTTTAAAGTGTTTCTCCCTTCAAATTCCATGGTTATCTTCTCCATGTCATTCAAGTCATAACAGATGTCACCTCCTCAAAGTGATTTTTTTGTATACAGTAGTTAAAGCAACGAAGTACACTATTCAATGACTCTCTATTTCATTTTCTAATTTTATGTTCTCCAAAGCATCTTTTCAGAGCCAAAATTAATTGTTCTACTTTTATTTCACTTAGTTGTTTTCTGTCTTCCTTTCTAAAATATAAACTCTTTAAGGTCATAAAATCTGCAGTGCCCCAGCAGGTGCACAAGAAATATGTGTTGAGTGATTGAAAAATGCGTGAAAGTTGGGCAAGAAAATACATAAGTGTATCATTTAGGAGGCTGTTATAGTAATTTATTTAAGATATAATAGGGGTTTAAATAAATTAAATTTGAGTTGCAATGGTGGAAAGTGAAGTGATTTGACTTATATTTAGGAGAACTAGATAGGAAATATACTATTGTGGTAAAAATAAAATAACACAGGCCTACACTCGCTAAAGCTATTTGCATTTGCTGGTACTAGTATCTAACGGGAACCATTTTTTTCAAACCTATGGAATCTGATTTCCACCCTTATTATGAACTGAATTTGTACTTGTCAAATTATTTTTTAAAATTATTTAAACTGCCCTGGCCAGTGTTTCTCCGTGGTTAGAGTGCTGGCCTGTCCACTTACGGTTAGCGGATTCAGTTCTTGGTCAAAGGCATGCATTGGGTTGCAGGTTCACTCCCCACCCACAGTTGGGACGTGTATGGAAGGCAACCAGTCGATGTGTCTCTCTCACATCTTTCTTCCTGTTTCTCTCTCTCTCTGCCCCTCCCTCCCTTCTACTTTATCTGAAAAGCAATGGGGGGGAAAATATCCTCAGGTGAGGATAATAATGATTTTAAAAAATTATTTTAACTTTTTAAATATAGTTGATATACAATATTGAATTAGTTTCAGGTATACAACATAGTGATTAGACACTTATAGAACTTATGAGGGCAACACTCCAACATTTCCAGTACCCACCTGATAGCATACATAGTTATTATAATACTTTCGTTATATTCCCTATGCTGTACTTTACATTCCTGACTAGATTTTTAAATATAT